ATCCAGTCTTTGGTTTCTCAGGCATACCAAGCATTTTAGATTCAAAGCAAATCAGTCTAACGCTCAGTGGGCTGAAGCCAAAGTTTGTATTTTCTCTGAAACGAATCATAACAGCTGCCAAAACATCCCTATTGCTCTATTCCAAGAAAGAAGTAGAAGACGAAGATGGGCTATACATGTCTGTTTTATGCTCCTTCTCATTTGCAGGTATATGTCATCAGTTGCCAAATCCCCCCACGTCATCCTCCAGTTTCTCTCCCCATTTCTGCCTGTGACTGCAGAGGCCCTGCATCTTGACATTGCACTCCCAGCTTCTCCATGCTGGAGGCCCCATCTTACAGAATGTCATGTCAGCACTTTGACTGTGACTGCCCTGGGATGAAATGGCACCAATATTGGTGACAAGCTGGGCTTCTGGTTTTACTCAGGAGAATCATTAACCATCTTTAAATAAATAAATCTCTGCTGCTACACATTGTACAATTTAGAACATGTGCCTTTGTGACTTTTGATGTGAGGCTTATGTTTAAAACCATTGTTTGTTTTTTCTGCCACCTATATCAGCATGCATTATGATTGATTCTTCAGGACCTTGGTTTCAGTCTCTATAACAGCCTATTCTTCAAAGCCCCCAAACTTAATATTAAATGATATCACCTATAATTTAAGCCAGCTCTATCCAAACACACCCTTCAATGTGGAAAGCATCCATCTAGTTGTATATGTGCGTGTGTGCGTGTGCGTGTGTGTGTGTGTTTATATATAAACAGATTTATATAGAAAACACCTTACATCTGTGCTGGACTTCATAACTTGCTTGACCCATTGGCATAGCAACTTGAGCCTTTAATTAATTGTTGCCTCTTTTAAAATTCTATTCCTCAAACCGAATTAGGTGTCCCCCCTTTGGGCTGCCTTAGTGATACTTAAAGGGGACATTGCATAAGTAAAGGCATCCCTTTGATCACAAACTTCATGATCACTAAAATGTTGATTACTCAACAATGGGAAGATGCACCATCATCTATGGGCACCTGGGAACTGGTTCTACTTTATTCTTCCATGAGGCTATGGCTTGACCAATGCTAACTGTGTCAAAACCTGAAGAACCTAAGGAGTCTCGCCATCTTCTTGAAGTGGTTACAGTGAGTGTTTGTATGAGATTTTCTGGAGTGTGGTATAAGCCCTGAGAATACATAGGCAGTATTCCAGTAGGAAGTGAGTTTTTCTTAACATGGTAAAACTCTGTTATGTGAGGATAAAATCACCAGCAGTTGCATGCCCAGTCAAGGACTCTTCTCCTGCTCCAAGTCTCCATCTCGTTGGTTTCCATTGTTTCAGAGTATCTGGCTAAATAAAATAGGGACTTCATCCACTCTGGAGTGTGTGTGTGTGTGCTTGTTGGTATGGGTTCTCCAAGGATCCACACATAACTAATCTGAGTTTACTTACCTTCATACTGTGATGAAATGTTCTTTGTCCCCACATTTTTTTTCTCTGAAATCTAAGCTGAGAGTAAGCACCATAACTACTCATCTTAATGTCATTGTCCCTCTGCTGGTAAATGTCCTGGTGTGTAGTAGATTCTCAAATATTTAACTGAGTGGGAAAATACCAGCCGTTATGTAGGACTTCACGCATTAAAGTTCTTAATATTCCTTATTTTATTTGAGTTTTGCCTCTAGTGGCTTTTAGCTATGGTTTCACAGAATACTATCATTCTTGAGCTGAATTAAAGGCTTCTGCCTTTAAAATCAGAATCTTTTCTCAATTACCTGAAAAATACTAATGAATAGCATTTTCTCCCATTTTTTAACTTCCTTCCCATCATATATATATATATATATATATATATATATATATATATATATATATATATATATATTCCTTGAAAGCTTTGACTTCTATTGTAAGGCTATATCTAGCTTTGCACAAAACTAGATTTTACTATTTTCATTGACATATCATTCCATGAAAATTAACTTGCCTTTCAGAAGTTCAGATATTTGAGCAGAGAATGCTATTCACAACAAGAGCTATTTCTTCTTTTTCATGGGGGTAGGACAGGGGAAGAGGATGGATTGTCTGCCTGTAATTACATAATGGATAGTGCCACATCCTAAGCATTCCTTGTGTTTTATTTCCACCTCCCATCAGCTCCATGATATGTTATTACTAGCAGGTTTTAAGCAATGAGACTGTGTCACAGAGCAGTTCAAGCCTAATGTCACAGAACCAGTCAATGGGAAGGTCAGATCATTTGACTCAAATACCCATTGCCCTGTCCACATGACGGTTAGTGGTATTAGCATCTATTCTCTATTGTTAAATTGTAAACTCCTTCAATGCAGAGGTTATGTTCATTTGTCCCATGGAAGGGAGGTCTCCATAAAACTGAATAGATTTGTCTACTCCTTATTTTAGTTAGCTTTGTTTGGGAAATGTGACTTCTCTGTATATCCAAGCATGGACCCAGATCATCTTCAGTCCTTGCCATTATTTGCCTTCCATTGTACACCACAATGTACCTCACTGTCTTTAAGCTGTAACTCAGTCTCTTCCTCACAGCCACCCTCAAATGGGGGTTGGTGACTGGAAAAATAATACGAGGAAAAGTTGTTAACTCTCTGAGATAACAGTTCATATTTTAAAATGCTCATTATTAATTCCAATATGGAATAATTTGCACTTGCTATTAACACATTAAGACAGCCAAAGAAAATGAGAAAGTGTCTCAACAGGAGACATTCAAATGTGAAGTTAAAAAAAAAAAAAAAGAAACGGAAGAAAACTTTTTTTTCTGATGAGCTAAGGGTATGTTGAAGATCTAGCCATCATACAGTTTATTTGTGTGGCTTTAGGGTTTTTGCTTTTATGTGTTAATTATTAATAAAATTAATTTTCAACACATCAATAAAAATGTGAAATCTGTACATAGTAATGGCCACCATTTCCTCCTTTTAAATGCCCCAATAGATGATGCACTGGTGCAAAACTGAACTATCACCTTCTGGGAAGTCATACTAATACTGTAGCATATTGATTGAATTCACAAAGCTGAATGTGTTCTACTTTAAAAATATGTCTTTAATAAAGATAACCTTTTGTCATTAAAATAAAGATGGATAGTGTGACAAGACATGGGCATATATCCTTAAAGTTAAAGAAAACTATCTACGGTAGTTCTTTTTTAAAAGAGTGTTTATTAACCAAGAAAAATCTTGTTATAGGCACATATACATATGACATACATAGGTATATTTCTCAGCTGAAAAACCATTAGAACCAAAATTGTCCCTAAGATTTCCATTTCTGTGCCTCTAAATTAACTTGTTTTTGAAGATAAGGAAACACATTGGTGACCCATGGCATTCCTTGTTTTTTGGTTATCTGTGTTGTCCATTTTAGGATTATTGAGGTATACTGTCCTGGTCAGGTTAAATACTTGGGAAAAAAGCCAAAGTTTGATGGGGTTTACTCCATTTTCTTTGTGATTTTAAAGATAACAGGTGCTTCTGAGGGTAGTGCACCCAGACTGACATGTTCAAAATTTCATGTTGCTAGTAATTCCAGAGCTTAGACTGAAAGGAGTTCATTCTTCAAATCACCTGAAAAAGGGGAAAATACTGTGTGAGACTAGATTTCTTAGTACTTTCTCTTGCTTTTTACTCTTGTTTTTTTTTTTTTTTTCATATTTTATTTAGGAAAAGATTTGCCAACCATACAATTATAGGTATGACAGTTGCTTAAGAAATTTTGGAGATGGAGATGGAAAGGGTGGGGAATAATGTAGGGCTATAGCCATTAATAAAAAAGAAAGGAATGGGAATTTAGATATAATAATACCTTCCTGGCATGGTGTCTGTATCTTGAGTAGCATGTTAATTTCTGATTATGAAATAACTTACATTTCAAAAACCAACTCCTATCTGGACAAGGATGAAAAATATTAACAATTCTGTGTTTTGTACAAAACAAGAATGTTGATATACATATAAAATCAGTTTTATACCTAACTTAAAACATAGATGATAAATGTTGCTTTAAACTGCAATAGCTTCAGAGGTTTGGGAATTATTTTCAGAATATTGATAAATGGGAAATTGCATTTCAACTATTTTCAAGTCTTTTCCCAAAAGCACACAAATAAATTGTTAATTTTTATGTGAAAGTGATTTTTAAACCGCAAGCAGATTTAAAAAAATTTTTTAAAGACTTTTCTCTATAGTGGCCAATTTCATATAAAATGTTATTTTAGGCCTAATTGCAAATGGAGTAGTTAGGCTGCCAGCTCTGCTAAGGTTGAATTTCATTTGAACTTTCTAATAGTATGATCTTTTTTTCAGAATTTAATAACTGACTCAAATATTTAATAGTGGAAGCCTTTATTAAATTAAAAAGAAATCAGGGTATATTTTTAGAAGAACTAACTTATTTTCTTTATCAATTTTATCTACTTTGAGAGAAAGGAAAGTGAATGGAACCAATCTCTTTGTGTACTTAAATAGACATTAATGCTATGACCCCAGCAAATAATTTATTTCAGGATGTATTGTTGTTCAAAAGATTTGAAAAGCACCAAATGGCAATAATAACTACACTTCTAGCTCTACTGAATGGCAATTTAGACTGACTGTATGAACCTCTTCATTTGTCTTCTGGATAATCATTCTTTTTAATATTCACATATATTTTCTAGATCCTTTTTTAAATTGCCCACTATCCATGTGTGCATTGCCTAACAGTTTTTGTTCAATGCAATGGCTTGTTTTGAAATTCAAGTGGGGGGGAAGATGAGAGTTGAAAGATTTTGTTTGCACATGTCACTCTGTATACAGATGACAAAAGACTGTTAAATTCACTAATTTACAAGCATCCTTAGAAAGAATATTTTTACATAAAAGCATGTTGTAAACCTTTTTAATTAAAGCACAGTTGTGCCATGTACTCTCTTTCCCCCAGGGCCCTTTTGACCTCTCACCTCCTATTTTGTCTTGCAGGCACTCCACTGCTGGTGAGGAGAAGCAGTGACCCAGCTCCAGGGCCACCTGCTGATGCCCAGCCAAGCTCTTCACACCCCAGTGGCCAGAGTCTGAAACCTGTTGTTTTAGTAAGTATCCTGCCCTTTGCATTTCTACTGAGAGATCAAAGTCCTTACCCATAGACTAACTGGGGCTTTGCAGTCTGGAAAGTAAATTGATAATTAGAAATCTTTTGCAAAGATATACAGTGGTAGTTATAATAGTACAATCTATTAATAGTACATAGGTGCGGTGAGGGCCATTATATATAGTATCAACTATGTGCCAAAATCTGTTTTCAGTGTTTTAGTTTGTCATCTAAACTTCTGCTTCAAGGTTAAGTTTTTATCTTCATTTTACTGATAAAGAAATTGAAACAGAAGGAGGTTTAGAAAGTTGTTGAAGGCCACATAGGAGGTGGCAGAGCCCGGAAATTAACCCAAGTGATCTGGCTGAAAAGATCATGCTTTGTAGCCAGATGTGGTAGCACACACCTGTAATCTCAATGGCTTAGGAGTCTGAGGCAGGAGGATTGCAAATTTGAGGTCATCCTGGGAAATTTACTGAGACCCTGTCTCAAAATAACATCAAAAAAAAAAAAAAAAAAAAAGGCTGGGGTTATAGCTCATATGCAGAATGTTCCTGGTTCAATTCTGGCATCCCCCTCCCCGGTCACTGTCACCCCCCATTCGCAAAAGACCAGGCTTTGAATTTGCATGCTGTACCACTGCATGTCCTTCATCCTGTGGCTTCAAAATACCCAAAGATGAAGTCTATATATTTTTTCTCTAATAACACAATGCTTTGCAAAGTCATATCAGGATAAATAGTAATACAGTTTCACATTTTCAATATCATGAATATGTGCTGTGACTATTAGATTTCTAGAATCCATCATAAAACTAAAATCCAGATAAAAATAAAATTATATACCCAAACTCCTTATAACCAGATATACTTATAACTGCTATACTTACAATCCATAGGTTAAATGGAGAATAATTTCCTGAAGAGATTACATCTTCCTTCCATATAGAACTGTGGGATCTTTATGCTAATTCCTACTTGCTTTGAAAAGTTATAATTGAACTTCATTCATCCAAATAGCCTTAGAGTTAGATTTCAATTAATGTCTACATATCATTGTAATAGGGGATCCTTAACAACATAACCATATTAAAAAGTTAGCTCCTAAAAGCCAGTCTTCTATTTTGAGTCTATCTATAGCACCGTTAGGGGAAAAAAAAAAAAAAGCAACATATTATAGGTTTATCAGAATGCCAAATAGATTAAACAAATTCTCCCAGTTTGTTCCATGGCTTTCTTATCAAGAGCCAGTGCTAATGTTATGAGGTAAGAGTTGCTATACCAAACCACTGGGCATGTACTAATATATTCGTGGTAATATTTTGCCATATTTCTTCCCTTAAATAAGCAAGCAAATGTCTTGAAAGTATTTTAGATGTAATGTTCTCTCACTATTCTACTTAAAACTCTATCCTTTTGAGGAATTATATTTAATGGAACTTTAATAAAAATCAGGTGTGTGTGGTCTACTTTAATGATGAATACAAACAAGACCAGTATGTGGTAAGCTCTGCTAGCTTTTTTTTTTTTGGTAACCCTCTGATTGAGACCATGTTAAGCCTAAATATATTAGTTTGGGGGAAGAGGACTATATAAATGAGAGAATAATTGCATAAAAGAGAATAACTACAATTTAGTGTTGATTTTTAGGGTATCTGCATAACCTAAAATGAGAGTATATTTGATCATTGTTTGCATATACAAAATCCAGCAAAGTTTATCTTTTCATTACATAAATGCAGCACTTACATCAATTAAAATGTTATTGATATTGCTTTCCCTAAAAGGAAATTATAGGGCTACTATCTTTCTGATAGATTTTGTAGTCTCACCAAAATATCACATTGTGAGTGCCACAAGTTAGGGTATGAGGCAGGACGACAAACTATTACTAGAGATATGCATATCCTTTTTCACAAGGAAATATTGGGACCTCAAATCCTTATACCTCATTTTTTTTCCACAGAGTAAAAAGGAAAACAGTTTTATCCAGAGTAAAAAGGAAAAAGGGTATTTCCTCCTTTTCTCTCAGTGTCTCTGGGCATGACAGCCTGAGACTCTAAAAGCAGAGTCTGGTTCTTGACTTGCCATGGGATAGAAACACATTTTATACTTCTCTTGCTTTAGTGTAAAATAATTTCCATGACACTCATAAGCCTTAACATCTCCAGGTCCAAGCATGGGGCCTGACTTATCATTATGTATCTAGTATCCAGATGTGCAAAGTGCTCAGTATATTTGTTTTGGACTTAGGAAAGCAAGGCACATATAAACCCAGAGAAAGGCCTACAAAATTCTCAGCAATTAGCCTGCTTGATAATTAATAATCTCAGTCATTTCTCTATTCCCCCAAAAGAATCTGTCTGGAAAATGTTTATAAGTTCAAAGATTTGGTTCACCCCAGGCAAGAGACAGATGTTTTAACTGCCCTATTGTGCAAGACTTGGTGAAGTTAATAAATAGATCGAATCTATTTTTACCTAGAAAAAAGATACAATTTGGGTGTGTGTGTGTTATAACTTTATTCATATATTTCTGTATATCTGAATCTGTGGCCTCGAATGATAGCCACTAGCTTACATGGCTGTGAAACTCTTGAAATAGAGTTGATCTGATTTGAAATGTATTGAAGTTTTGTATGTGCACTTTCAAAAACTGAAGTGTGAAAAAAATAACATCTCATTAATCATTTTTATATTGACTGTTGAAATGATAATATATTTGATATTTTGGGTTAAGCACAATATATTATTAGAACTATTTTCACCTGCTTCATTTTACTTTTTCATAACATGGCTAATAGAAAATTTAAAATTGCAGCTGTTTTTGTTATTCCATTTATATTGCATAGTGCATCTGTGGGACAAAAGTAAAACTGAATTTATCATTAATGAAATGGTTGGAGATATTTGTAGGAAGATCTTTGAGGACCATCTCATCTCCCTGGTGAAAGTATGGTTGAACTTGTGTACAGCAAGTCCTGATTCAAGCCTTTTGTCTGGCGTGATTATTAACAGTGACCCCAGTGACTCTCAAAGGAGTGCATTTTGTGGCACCCTGCATATAGCCCTATAGTTACTTTCATTGTTTGCTCAGTGGTAAGAGAACCATGGGAACACAATAGGCTCCATTCTTAGCTGCGGACACATTGCAGAGCAGCTTCTGTGTGGCAAGCTCCTGAGCTCAGGAAGGTGAGACTTCAGGTTCTATTCAGATTCCAGAATTTACTGGATGCTTCCTCGATAACTTCGGCTATCCTGTACTTAATTCCCATTATTTGATAAGTGATGATGAATATGGGGAATGTGTGATAATGTAGCCATGTATCACCCATTACAAAAAAATAATTGCTTAAAAAAATCTATGTTCAATTGCACTTCAGTCCAATATCCAAGGCAGGGGGAACAATCAAAATTTCCATCTCTTAAACAGTGTTCATATGTAAGTAATTCGCAGATGGCAGGACCCCACGTGGGTTATGTTCAATCATTCCCAAGAAATGAAACATATAACCCACAGCATAAGAATCTGAAGAATGAATATTTGACACATTTGATTATGTTGAAATATTGCCTTGAAGACCACAGCTGATGACTGTTATTTTTAGTTGCAATTCATTAGGCCTACCATAGAGGGTAAAGTTTTCATTGATGCCCAGGGATGTGTGGTTTTTAAAAGTTAGAAAAGTTGCACTTATTTTTGGGTAAGTTATTACAAATTGGTTATTTAAGATGTGCACTCTGGAACATGCTGTAGTTTTAAAATGGGCCTAAATAAGAAATATCAAATTTTCTGCAGACTTCATGTTCTGTTTATATTGATAAGTAACCAAATCTCAGTATTTGTTACTTAAGGTACCACCAGATAAACAGCACAGAAATTTGTTTCCTCTATTCCTCTTTCATACCAGAATAGTACAAATTATTAATGTGCAGATAGCAATGGCTATTTATCTTCCAAGACAATAGCAAATCCAGTTCTACTGACTGCTTTTGAATTAAAGAAAGAGAATCCCGGGCACAGGATATTTCTTAGGGAAACGCTTATGAGAAGTCTTACCTCCCTTCCCTTGATTGCAACCTGGTGTTCTTGGCTTGAGGGCATGCCATAAAACCAGGTCCTTGAAATTGATGTTCCCGAATTTGCGGATGGAACAGAACTCTAAAACAGATGTGAGTTTTTTTCTTAATATCCGGTTAACTACTATAGTTGTTTTGTGTTTTAATGACTGTTTATAGTTTTGAATTTAACCCTTAAAGCAAATTGATCCCGCAGGGCGAGTAAATTAAAAAGTGCATTCTTGAAAATTATAATACTGTGGTCATTCTCAGATAGTAAAGGACATTGTTCTAAAATCCTTATTTATTTTGTATTTCCAAAATTAAGAGACTACTGGTCTGTCTTTGAAAACAAATGTGTCATATATAAGTAAAAATAAGCTGGCAATTTTGGGGGTTGTTAAATGGGAAGTCCATGGATGGGTTGCAGGGAGTCTGGTCAATCTGCAGTTGTATGCCATGGCATGCCAGTGTGTGTATGTGTGTTTATTTCTCTAAAAAGATTCTATCACTCTTTGAATTTTAAAACAAAAGAACAAAATTAAGAACTATCAGTTTTTGGTTGGATAAAATAGTATATGGAAGCCACCAATTCTCAAAGTAGGAATGATGATAGAGATTAAACAGAAAATGATCTTTCTTTCCCTGCAAATACATATTAAATAATTAAGATTATTTCATCACATTATCATCTTTTCTTACCAAAACATAGCACAGAAATTCGGAATTTTAAGTTAAATAGAAGCTTTTGAATTTCTGCACTGAGAGACCAAACACATCTGTTTATTCAGTAGCAGCATCATTTTTAGCAACTCTAAGATTGGGGTGAAGGACACAGATTAGTTATAAAAAGACACCCTAAAGGGAAGTGTTTCCATTTTTCCAGTGTGTTATAATATTCTTTGCAGATTTGGGGATTTAATCTGCAAATATAGTAGCTGGTA